TATAATCTCATAATTCAATGGTAAAACCTATGATGTTTGTAAACAAAAGCTTTGAATTCCATGAAACTTTTATGAACATGATGTATGCTCAAATACAGGTATACACATATCCACATATACACATATACATTCAAACAGACAAACACTTAGGTTTGAAAATCAACGAGTCTGGAGTAATGGTCTATCCATCCCAAATGGTGTGGACTAAGGGTTTATTGTACCTGCAGAATAAAAGTTCTAAAAAAGTTCCCAAAGTCATCAGTTCGTCTTTCGGATATTATCAATTTCTCAAATACTCAGTAGTTAATAATATTCTCAAGAGAACATCTTTCGAGTGTAGTATCGCGTATCAACTATTTTGGGGCTACTTCCTCATAGTCATCGCACTACGTCCTAAGAAAGGCCAAGTTGAGTTAAGGGTAACTAAAGGTTCCCAGTATCACAGGCTCCTAGGTCAAAAATAGTAAGTGTTTTCACGAATACTCGTTCAACAATACCATTCTTAAGAGGGCCTCAACTGAGTGGTGATTCTCAAGTCAGCTTGGTCGGGAATCAATTCCCTATAAGCCTTCTCGAATATATCACCTTCCTATCATAAGTGTACTCAACTCCGGGTGTAGAACTTATCTCACCGCACGAAAGTAACAACCCAAAGCAGAAACACACACACACACACACACACACACACACACATATATATATATATATATATATATATATATATATACACACACACACAACAAAAACACAAACAAGCAAGTTAGGGGAAACCCTTGAAAGCATTTCCCCAGTGAAGTCGCCATTTCTGTCGCGGTGAGAATTGGATATCAAATTATGGGATTAACTGGAATCTTAATTCATTGTTCACCACCGGTCTTTGATTTGTTCAAGGGAAGGGAAAAAGATCGAATTACCCAAAAGCATGCAATGCAATGCAAAGCTAGAGAAACTAAGGTTCGGGGGTTGGTTATACCTAGGGAAGGTGTTAGCTCCTAAGCATCTGTAGTACTATACAGGAACCTCTTGTTTTATTGTGCTATTGTTGTTTGCTAAGGGTAAGAGACCTAAGAGTTTATTTCTAAGTATACTCGCCAAGAAATCGCATCTTGTGCCTACGTATCTTGACGGGAATGGAATCAGAGTATTCGTAGTTTCCCTAAAGGGATTGAGGAACTCTTGATTCTGCCCAAGGTTCCAGAAGGGAAGTTTCTTGATTGAGGAACACGTTGTCATCTTAGGGAGAAAACTCGACTTAAAACACCACAAGTATGTGGAAGACAGTCTTTGCTTCGCATTGGGAGAAGGGCTCCAACTCGGATTTAGAATCGACGAGTATGCCACATACCTCTCTCAAGTGGAAAAGAAATAAACATCTTTCTTAATTATGTCATAAGGTAGGAGAATTATATCTCGACTAAGGATGATTAGTGTCTAATTCTGTTTGAAAAGGGTTTAAAGTTCAAAAGGCAAAGTGGAAAAATGGCTTGAGATGTGTGAGGTGTTTTTTTAGTTTTTGAAAAGAGGTTAGAAATAATTAATGTATTTTTGGATTTTTATTTATGAATTGTGAATCCTAATTGTACTAACAAGGATTAGTCCCTAATTTCCCTAATAATCCATAATTTGTGCTAGTATGGTCTTAACCTAAAGTATCAATTATTTATTTGTTTTTTTTTATATTTTTATAGTATGAAAAAAATAGCCATAATAAAAAAATAAGACAAGTAAAATAAATAAATTCAAAGACGCATATAATAGTTCAAGGTGTGTAGGAAGAAAAAATTAATGGGCTTCATTTTATCAACTATTAATAATCATCTTAACCAAAATAATAATAATAATAATAATAATAATAATAATAATAATAATAATAATAATAATAATAATAATAATAATAATAATAATAATAATAATAATAATAATAATAATAATAATAATAATAATAATAACAATAATAATAATAATAAATGGAATGAAAAAAAAAATGCATGGACTAGGAAAGACATATGTAGAAAGGTAAGAGTGTACAGGTTTTTCCATTTTTCTCACTAATGAAACTCACATGGACCACATCAATTTCTCTAAATTAATTTAATAATAATAATAATAATAATAATAATAATAATAATAATAATAATAATAATAATAATAATAATAATAATTTGTATAATAATAAGTGGCAAGTATTATTGACTCACTCAGTTCTTCTCCCTCAATCAACAAAATAACATTTCACAAATTGCATCCTCATTTTTTTCAAATAAATCCAACATCAGGAATAACATAAATTATTACAACAACTAATCATAAAAAAGTAAGAAAAGCTAAGAAAATTTACCAATTGGGGGGAGTCACGACAGATCTTATGGAGGAGGGTGTCAACTTCAGATGCGGCGGTTGTCGAAAATGATTTGTGCGCGTCGGGAATATCAAACTCCAACTTCTTAGTGTTAGTATTTTTTCTATCTCTTGTATGTGTGTGTATTTTTGAACTTTTTTTCTGCATTTTTCTTATTTTTTCTCTTTTTTTTTTGTGTCCCCTTTGTTTTTTCTAATGCATATATATAGGATTAGAAAATAGACAAGAATGATAATAACAATTAACACAATGTTTTTTTGTTTTTTATAATAAGACAATAAAAGGAATTAAAAATCATGTTTTTGTATCTTTTATGATAAGACAAGAATAAAAAGAATTAAAAATCATGTTTTTCTGTTTTTTTATTACAAGACAAGAATAAAAAAAATTAAAAGTTTATGTTTTTGTGTTTTTTAAAAAGAAAATATTAATAAACAAATTTAAAATAAAATGAAATAATAAAAATAAAAATTTACCTTAAGTATATAATTAAATCTAAATAAATTAAATGATCATTTAAATAAAAAATGATTTAAAAACGAAATAAAAAGTCGGGTAGAAAAGTGCTCGAAAAAATAAAACGTACACACTAAAATAATCAGCGCGAAATAAGCGACTCGGAAAAATACAACATTTGGTCAGATTTTGAAATAAATTTTACCTGCTAAAAAGGCTTAAACTGACCAAAAAATGTCCCAAAGATGGTCGAAAAATTTAAATGAGCACGCCAGGTTAAACTACGCGAAACGTAAATTAATATCACAGACGTTTGCAGGCTCGATCTTGAAATTTTCCGTCCACTAATTTTACACACAATTGATTTTTATTTGATCAATTCGGTTGTAATTCCAACAAGTTTATTCCAACTGATAAACAGAATCTCAAGGTCAAAAATTAGGATATGACGAGCTGAATTTCTAGTTAGCTGTATGAGAAATTTTATTTTTTTGAATCGTCGTTATATTTTAGAATATCGTGTATTTTCTTTTCCAACAACAATAACAACTTTTATTTAGAGCTAAAAATTTCCAGCTACAACACATAGACAAGGACATCATAATAAAGATTTCAAAATAAAGATAAAACACAGTGACTAATACAACAAAACACTAACTTCTGATAATTTTACAAAGATAAACACTACAATACCATGAATTATGTTAACATATTAAACAACAACAACAACTAAAATAAGTGGATCTTCTACGCCTCGGCTAGCTTATCCACTATGTGCGGAAAACATACAATTGACATCCAAATCATTTTCTACACGATCCCAATAATAGTGGTAGATACCGTTCGGGCTGACATCTGTCAAAGTTATATATGGACAATAATATTCAATTTTTCTAAGTTGAAACCAATCGTCTGAAACTCCATTGTGGATTCAAACAAATCCTCATGTTTTTATATGTTTAAAAAAAACAATACACCACACAAATATGATTAAGAAATATGTGAAACAAGTAGACAACGACAAGAAAAATTATATTTCATGTGTCTTATGCACCTCTATTTATAGAAGATCAAATGGATGAAAAAAATAATATTAAAAAATTGTTTTGGCAGGAAACCAATATATTAGAAGAAAATTTAATTATTAAACAATAGGATTTAATAAATTTGAATATTTAAAAAGCATTATTTTTAATTTTTTTTTAATTGAAAAAATAATTTAAATTAATATTATACTATAAATTAATTTTTTATGAATTTATATATTAAAAAAACATTTTAAAATAATTTTAAAAAAGTCTTCATTTAAAATGACGGACCCCAACGTGAGGTATATATATATATATATATATATATATATATATTATATATATATATATATATATATATATATATATATATATATATATATATATATATATATATATATATATATATATATATATATATATATATATATATATATATATATATATATATATATATATATATATATATATATATATATATATATATATATAATGGATAAAAAAGTGGCAAATTGAAAAAAAAATTCAATGTGTAACATTTTGGGACTTTAACTATCATGTCAAAAAAGTAGAATATGACATTCATTTTATTTTAAGAGAAAGAGGAGAGAGTACTTCACTAGATGAACGCCACTGCTAGCAATTGTCTTAAATTAACCTGATCAAACTTCTTTCATACATCACGTTGGTACTTATGTAGAAATGCATGACCAAATAGATAGACGCTTGGTTGTTGTTTGTAAAGGTCATAGGATCAATATCCATTGACATCAAATATTACATTTTATAGAAAACACTCATAATTATGTTATCAACATGTCACGGACCATTCCATCTATCTTAAAAAAATTTAATTTGTAAATTTCAAAACAAAACAAAAAAAAAAAACAAAAAAAAACGGAAAGGTGCCGAACATTATGTGTCATTGCCCAAAAGAAAAAGTTAAGATTTTTAAAGGTAGAATCATTTTGCAGATCTTGTGCCCCTTAGTATTTCTTTAGAATTATCCCCTAAGTATTATATTACTTTTTCCCACTTCGCAAATCAATTATATTATTCTTTTATCATCTTCAAATTCAATCATATATCATCTGCTACGCTTCATGTATTTAGATCTGAAACAAACCAAATAGGTAAAAACTTCAGAAACCATAACCATGTCTATGTTTTCGAACTTCATGTTCCCACCACCACCTTCTATATTTGTCACAACCATGTCAATCATAAGCTTAATTGCACTTGCAAATTATGGTATTTCTGAAATTAGAGGAAAGCATTTAAACTATTCTAAATTCTGGAATGCAAATAACAATAGTGGAAAGCAAATTAAGTTTTCAAGTAAGGTTGGTATGTTGTTGCTATATACTCCTGCTTTTTTAGCTGCTGCGGCGTCGTTTTGGGTGTTTCCTGATGAAGGTTTAAGATCTACAGTTCTTCATTCTGCTTTGACTCTTCACTACTTCAAGAGGGTCTTTGAGGTAATTAATACTTGAAAATTTGAATACAAATAAGTATGTTTTTGTTTGATTGTTAGAGATAATTATTGTGTGAGATAATTTAAAAATAAAAATAAGAATCATTATATTAAGGTCAAATAGGCGTATTTTTGTGTTAAATTTAAAAACAAAACTTTGCATTTTTAAAAATAATTTTATAATTTTAAAAAAAAAAGACCTCTATTTATATATTTTTATAATTGAAATACTAATTCTAACATTTAATAATATAAATATATATTATTAAAATTTAAAATATAATTAAAATCATTAGGGTTAGACAATCGATCGGTTTCAAACTCAAAATTTAAATTTGATATAAACCACAATTTTATTTTTATGGTCCAATTTCGACCGATAAAATTTCATTTTTTATCGAATTCACTTAAATCAATTCGGCGGATAAATCAGATCGAATAAGTCATTTTAATATTTATTATGGTAAACCTATAAAAATAACTTTTTTTTTTTATAAAATTTACAAATATCTATTTTTAATTATAAAAAATTAAACTTTTAGAGCAGTCTAAAAAGCTACTTTTTTTATTATTAAAAAAAATTATTATTACATTATGATATTTTCAAATTCATTTGATATTAATTTCATCATTATCATATTTTAAACTATAAATTAAATAATATTTAAAATTTTATATTGTATATTTTGTATTTTTTGAAGAACATAATGCCACCAATAAATTATAAAAATGATAATATTCAACGATATTATGAATTTCATTTTTATAGTTAGTCAGAAATATAACAATAAGAATAAATAAAATATAGATTAATTAATTTTGGTCAGTTTTGGTTTTTTACAAATACAAAATAATTATCTGAGCCCGACAAAAATAACTCTATATTATTCAAATTAAGCAACTGAATCAACCAACACCCGACACTCGATCTGACCAATTTGCACACACACAAAAAATCAGATCTTTAAATCAAACCGTTCAAATTTGTTCACCCCTAAAAATCATATAATTTTTTAGAAGATTTATCTTTAAAATATTTTTTATAAAAATTTATTCAAAATAGCTATAAATTTAAATACAATCTTTTTGAAATTTTTTAACAATATGACACTTAAAAATTATTTTTTTTAAAAAATCAAACAATCCGACTCATGAAAGTGTATCAGATAAAATAATAACAAAAAATTAATTATTATATTTTTATTGTTATATGTGATTCTTTGTATTTATTTATTTGTTAATTTTGGATTTCTTTTAAATTATATTCATATTTTTTATGATATTCATGTACTTTTTTTAAAAATTATTAAATCATATATTTCTATACAAATATCAACTGAGTTCGAAACGTAAAGGTATTATTATTTTTATTTTTATTATTATTTTAAAAAACATGAATGAATTTCATATATGTGAATTTCATATAAAATGATCATTGCAAATATTCTCTGTAAGTGAGAGTTTTTATTTTGTCTTATCAAAGTGAACATAGTGTTTTTACTTTATTTTGCAGTCTCTTTTTGTTCACAAATATAGTGCTTCCATGCTTCTTGATTCAGCAATCCCCATCACTCTAAGTTACTTCATGTCAACCGTAACAATTATCTACACTCAACACCTCACAAAAGAGCTTCAAGAGCCATCAATTAATTTAACATACCCAGGAATTTTGCTTTTTCTAATAGGCATTATTGGTAACTTCTATCATCATTTTCTTCTATCCAAATTAAGAGGAAAAGGTGAAAAGGAATACAAAATTCCAAAAGGTGGCTTATTTGGGATTGTGATATGTCCACATTATCTTTTTGAGATTATTGATTTTTATGGTGTGTTTTTTATTTCTCAAACGTTGTGTTCTTTGTGTTTTGCAATTGGTACTACTTTTTATTTGTTGGGGAGGAGTTATGCTACTAGGAATTGGTATCTTTCTAAGTTTGAAGATTTTCCTAAGAGTGTTAAGGCTGTAATTCCATTTGTGTTTTAATTTGTTGTAAAATTGATTTAGATTTGATACCACATGCACGTCGAGTTAATAGAGTACATTGCGTAGGTGTTGTACTTTTATTGATTGTTGTTGATATGTTGTTGGATGAGGTGTTAATGATAATTGAGACGTTGTTGCATATGATGTTAATGATAATTGAGATGTGGTTTTGTATGATGTTGATTACAATTGAGATATTTTCATGTACGATGTTGATGATGATTTGGACGTGAGAATGTGATATGTTATTGTGCATGATTGTGTAGATATTGTACTCTATTCTTCATTCTATACCGTTTATTATTGAAATGAATTTTCATCCCTTATGTTTAAATGTTTCTTTTACATGGGCGCACTACTACGGAAAACATATACAACAATGGTTGGAAAAGAGATACCATCACACGTGACCCACTGTTGTGAAGTAGTGTGTGGTTGTATATACGTTACTTACAATCACGGTCGTATGACCGTTGTAGAAAACCTGAAAGCATATGACATATTATCACAGTTGCTTTAACTAACCGTTGTAATATATTAAAGGTCTCAAGTTCGATTCTAAGTAGCGCATTTTTGGTATATACATTATTCTGGACAACGTCCACTCTACAACCACAGTCATATTTAACAACAGTCGTTAAATTATCTGTCTTTTTAAAAATTATTTTTCTACTCTTTGAAATTTTTCTATTTTTTAACTTATATTTTTGTGAGCCGTATCAGAACAGAAACAACAATTGTATCATAACAATAATTGTATTATATTACATCAAATTCATATATTGTGTTAACAACCAAACATTGTATATATATTACATCAAGAGAAAAATGGCACAAAACAACCTACAAAACATTATATATATAATTGTATCCTAGTCTTTTGATTTCTTGCTCTTGGTGTCTTGACTTTAAACACCTACAATTTCAAATAATCATACTTGTAAGTAAATATACTTAGAAATAATAGCGTACATTAAATTATGAATAAATAATAAAATACTTACTTGTTAATTTTCTCATATGCCTTCATTATGATCAATACGAATATCATACATGTAACGCCCCGATTTCGATTATCCCTTTTTCGTTAAGTTCTTTTTGATTTTAATTGGGCGAATATTATTTTGATGTGGAATTTTCGTGGAAATATGTTATGTTTACATGTTGTTCTATTTTACCCGATTTTGGGAGTTTTCGGAGAAAATAGTTGGAGGGTATTTTGGGCATTTCCTATTTAATGATAAGTTGGATATTTTATGAGATATTGAGTTAGTAGATGTTTTGGGAAAAATAATATGAAGATATTAAAGAGGAAATAGAAGAGAAAGAAAGATAGTAAGAAAGGAAGGAAAGAAAAGAGAAAGAAAGAAGGAGAAGAGAAAGAGGAGAGAAAGAAGAGGAAACTTTGGAAAACATCAAGACCAACCCTAGCTTGCGGTTAATCAGGTAAGGGTGAGAAGTTTTATCATCTTGATAATGTATGTAATCATGTATGTGCTGGTTTGGGTGTATTGATTGTTTTCTATGTTTCCATTTCTAGGTCAAAAGTTGATTTAATCGGTAGAAACTGAGTTTTATCAGTTAGAATTTGGAATCGACGGTGTAGTATAGTCGGGTGATGAGTGGGCCATGCTACTAGAACTGATTTGGATTAAATCGGTCGATTCTTGAGGTTTTGATGATTTTGGAGCAGCCATGGGAGTTCTGAGTTCGCAGGTTCGCCAGGCGAAGCCCAACGAGCAGCAGCGAACCAAAGTCAGTAGCAAACACCCTGTCTTCGCTGGCAAGTTCGCCAGGCGAATGAGTGTGGCAAAGGTTCGTCAGGCGAGTGTGCTAGCGAGTAATTCCAGAATAACTCCCAGTGGGCTTCGCTGGCGAGTTCGCCAAGCGAATGGCAGCGAGCATTCGCTGGGGGCTTCGCCAGGCGAAGGTTAGCGAACACAGCAATATATTTTCTTTTCTTGTGTTTTCCATTCGTGGATTGTTTGTGTGGTTTGGTTGGGATCATTCCTTGTCTGGCGTGAATCCTAGTTTGTGATTCGTGAAGTGTGGAATGTGGCCGTTTGACAATTTGGTGCATTTACTTGAATTGAATAGAAATGCATGTTGAGATCAAATGATGAATATGTATATATGTATTGTGATATGTATATATATTGTGAATGCATAATGAATATATGCGATGAATGCATGAGTATGTTTGTAAACATGTATGCATTTCAAGAAGTGTATGAAGTCATTTTGCATGTGAAGCATCATGAAGTACATTCTTGTGCTGTTGATTCCTAGGTGAGTCTGATGAGTGGTAGGATTCCTAGGAGAGTCCGATGAGTGATGTGATTCCTTGGAGAATCTGATGAGCGATGTGATTCCTAGGAGAGTCTGATGAGTGATAGGATTCCTAGGAGAGTCCGATGAGTGATGTGATCTCTAGGAGAATCTGATGAGTTATAGTGTACCCGAGAGGGGCGTGAGTGAATTGATTCTTAGGAGAATCTGATGGACGATTAAGTCGGTATCATATTACATTTGCGTAGAGTAGCGAGTTGGCCTCTATGATTTGCATTTATCATCTTTGCATGATGTATGGTGAATAAACATGATGTAGATGTTTATGTAAATTGTTGATAATTGGCATGAATGCAATGTTTGAAGATACGTGTATGTGTGAGTATATATGTATATGTGTGTATGTTTATGAATTAATATAAACATTGATGATGCATATTGTATATGCTTAGTGTTCTATTTGTAAATATATATTTGTGAATACATTGCGATGTACGGTGTAGTGAGATGAGTTGTGGTGAGAACGCGAACGATGTTATTAGATGTTATATGTATATGTATATATGTTTATATGTATTATGTATTATGATATTGTTTCTCACCCTTCTGCTGTTTTATAATGCTCTATTAGGCATTGCAGATTAGATTGCTGGAGATCTTTTGTGAAGCGTGGCTTCAGTCTTTTTGGTCGGTTGGCTCTGATATGTGGCACCGGGTAGTTAGGGATTATTTTGATTCTTTTGTGATACACCTGTGTATGTATCTGCTGATGATATGTTTTGTAAACATGGTGAATGATAATTGTATATGTGAATACATGTTTTGGAGATTATGAAATATTTAGATGTTTCCGCCTATGTTCTAAATATTTTCCTTGTGGGTGTTACCCCGTTGTTGCATATCTGTTGAGCAGGTGTTGTATGTGTTGAATTTTTAGTATAATGTGATATGCCCCTTTTATGCCATGATATAAATGTACTCTGATGAAATTTTGAATTATGCCTGAATGATTATTTGTATTAATTGGGGGTATAGAAAGGGGGTGTTACATTAAGTGGTATCAGAGCCAGTGTTGAGTCAGTTATGTCCGTCTCGTTGTTTGTTGGTTGAACGGTTGTTTAACCTTGTTGTTATTTTTGGGAATAATCAGAATATGGCTGGTCGTAATGACAATGCGATGGCTGCTGCATTGGAGGCAATGGCTAGGGCGGTGCAGGGTGCGCCGAATGTGAACGCTAATAATGAGTTTAGAAAGAATCAGCCGCCGGTATTCAAGGGAAGGTTTGATCCGGACGGTGCTCAAATTTGGTTAAAGGAGATCGAGAGGATCTTTAGAGTTATGAATTATGCTGAAGGGAACAAGGTGAGACTTGGGGCTCACATGCTGAGAGAAGAAGCCGACGACTAGTGGGTTGGTATGAGACGAGTTCTTGAAGTAGACGATGAGGAAATCACTTGGGATTTGTTTCGCACCAAATTTTTGAGAAAGTATTATCCTGAGAGTGTTAAGGGAAAGAAGGAGATGGAGTTCCTGAAATTGAAACAAGGCAATATGTTCGTGATAGACTACACGGATAAGTTCACAGAGTTGGTGAAGTTTCATCCTCACTATGATGCGGTGACGGCGGAATTTTCCAAGTGCGTTAAGTATGAGAACGGCTTGCGTTCTAAGATAAAGCAAGCGGTGGGTTATCAGAGGATAAGGAGATTTTCGGACTTGACCGAATGCTGTAGAATTTTTGAAGAGGATAGTAAAACTCGTTCTACTCACTACAAGAGTTTGAGGGAGGAGAAAGAAAGGCAACAGGTAAGGAGTAGACCTTATGTGGCGCCTGCTGATAAGGGCAAGCATAGGGAGAACTTTGTTAAGAGGCCTGGAGGAGGGAGTTCTGGATCCATTAAATGCTACAAGTGTGGTGAGATGGGTCATAAGTCTTTTATGTGTGGAAAGCCCAAAGTTAAGTGCTCTAACTGCGGAGTTATTGGGCATGATGCTACGGATTGTAGAAAGGGTGTAGTGAAGTGCTACAATTGTGGAAAAGAAGGTCACATCAGTGCTAAGTGTCCTAACCCTAAGAAAGCTCCAACAAGTGGAAAAGTATTTGCATTGGCAGGATCAGACACTACTAATGCGGATTGTTTGATTTGAGGTATGTGCTTTATTAATAATATGCCTTTAGTTGCTATTATTGATACCGGAGCGACTCATTCGTTCATTTCTTTCGAGTGCGCTAAGCGTTTGGATTTGTGTTGTATTCTTGTGAGGGTGGTATGGTTATTGAGACACCCGCTCCGGGGTCGGTAACTACGTCTTTAGTGTGTTTAAGTGTCCTTTGACCATGTGTGGTAAGGGTTCTATCATGGACTTAGTATGTTCACCATTAAAAGGATTATGGGTATGAGCTGATTGCAGTATGATAGAGTTAGTGTGGATTTTTTTTCCCGTTGGCAAGGATTTCTCCTTTGAAAGATAGAAAGGATGAGCGTTTCTTATTCCCGAAAGAGTTGAAGAAACTTTTGGGGGACAGAACTCAAGTGTTCAGTTGTTTGCATCATTGTCGGCGGAGAGTAAGGCTGAACTGGATGTGTTCCCAGTGGTGCGTGACTTTTCAGAGATGTTTCTAGAAGGATGTTAAGGATGTACCGCCGGAAAGAGAAATTGGATTTGAAGTCCGTGGATTTGATGATGATAAGAGGGGAGACTTCAAGAT